GGTACATTTTAGGGATAGTAAAACCTTTTTTGACATTGTTGGGACCGGCCTGCGGTCCCCAAGAGGGGAAAAATATTAAAAATAGTAAATTATGTTTATCTGAAAGTGTATAAATGCAAACTTGTTTTCTGTAAGGGGTAGGTTTAGGGTTAGGGAATAGAAAATATCGTTTGGTCAGTATAAGTAATAGAAGTCTATGGAAAGTCCCCACAATTCACAGAAACCACACGTGTGTGTGTGTGTGTGTGTGTGTGAAATGCACCTGAAAATCAATGCCAAGGGTACCAATTCTGCCCTCATAAACAAATTAATTCTGTCTAATTCTACTTGTGTGCACTTCATAAAGGGCCACTCACCCAAGTTTTTCCCAGGAACATAATTGTGATACAAAAGGTAATGAGGCATCCATTGGAGGGTTTAAAACCCACAACCGTTTGGTTACTATAGTCCAGATATTCAGGTTATACCACCCTTTACAGGCCATACCTGTGTTTGTGGTGTCTGTCCCTGTGCAGGTCTAGCTACTAGACCAGTTTGTGTAGAATTTTTCAAAAACTGTTAAAACTGTACCTGTATGTGGTAATGCTGGAACTCATGTGCAACTGAACTTGCAAAAAATAAAGATTTCACACATACTTAACCATTTCACGTCTGCTACAGTTTTGAACATCATGAGCCATGGCAATAGTGAACCGGAATGGCATACATGACCATTTTTGTTTATATAGCTGTTTAAAAACTGTAATTCTAACTGTGCAGTCTTTGTAAAAGATTGAAGTGAGGTCAAATATTACTTCACCAATAATAAAAAAGTATTATATAAATATTTTTAATATTTATCAATAATCAATACTCTTTCTTTGTTGTCTTAGATCTTTGCCAGAAATGGATACCATCTACAGCTCCTTCTGTTGAAGGCAACATCCTGGCAGCAGGGTGTTGCTTGAATTTGGCCTTTTACCTCAGACCAGTATGGTTTTATTTATGTTAATGAGCTTTGGGTGAAAAGCTGGTTAATGCTGACAGTGCTCCAGGTGCACATGTGGATATGGAGAGTCATAACAGAGTGGTGCAGGTATGACCTAAGAACCCGGAAGACTACTTCACCACTGGTTCCTTCGAGATTTTCCTATGGGGCTTTATAATAGGGTTTTTCAATTTATGAGTAAAATAAAGTCTGTGGTAAACATAACTTGACGGTGCTTTGACATTTTGTTCTACAACATAAACTGCACACACTCACACCAAATACTGTCTTATCTAGTTAGTTATTACAAACATATGTTTAAAAAAAATAAACATAACTGCTTCAAAATTCACACTTATGGTATGGGTGTGTGCAGTTTACAAACATCAGTCCTCCAGATTTTGACCAATCTATGCAAACCCTTTGACCTTTGTGGACCAAAAAATTATTTAATTTTAAATAAAAATGACATGCATTAATTAATGAACAACATACTTACAGATTAGAAGTAAACAGACATTTATGGCTTAATTGGCCATGAGATACACCAGACATAGGCCAAAGTGCATATAACAAAACGTGATGATTTCCAGCTAGCATGTTATAAAAAAAAAACTTTGACCCTGACCTATTTTTTTATGAAAATGTTTTGATAACATCCAATTAAACTCATGTGCAATTCACAGCTGTCCTTGTCCTCACACATCTCTAGTCAGTAAATATCCCAGTGAGGCACTGGTTTAAGCTGATGATAAAAGCAGTTACACCTGTCCTCTGCTGTCAGGATATCAAGGGCATCTCAAAGGAAATCTTAATGGCGTCCATAATTATGTGGAGTTTCCATGGTAGTGTGGGGCAGGGTGACAGCCGTTAGTTTTATTGTTCCAGTAAAGACTCAGGCTAGAATCTGTTTCAGTAAACATCATGCAAACACACACTCCCCCTCGACTCTGAAGGTGTCGATCCACACACTGTTGTTGGTTAGATGATTATACACATGCATGCCAAAGCAACAAGTTCAAAGCAAAGTTTGTGTGGTTGACACAGGTGATCCATATAACATTTTCTCCATTATGAGGTTGGCCTACTGTATTATAATGTGGATCAGTGGATCACAAGACATGCCAAACATGCACCTCTCACTCACTGAAACACATTTGGAGAACAGAGCTCTTAACTTTGGACCCCATGGGAAATATTTAACAAGTGTAATTAATTTAGGTAATTAATTGTGAAATGGATGACTACGAGGAAAGGATCATTTATCCTCATTAGAGTGAGAAGGACTTTTCCCAAACAGTTTTTCTACTCATAAAAGGAAAAGTGCACTGAATGTTAACAGCAGCTGATCGCTATTTTTAGACTATTTTAGATTCAGGTCCAGGTAACTGCATCTTATCTCATCATTAGTATCGTGAAAATAAATTTGGGGGCAAATACAGTGAAAAATTAGTTTTTAAGAAGGCGATGTTAATTTTAAAAATGACATGCATTAATTAATGAACAACATACTTACAGATTAGAAGTAAACAGACATTTATGGCTTAATTGGCCATGAGATACACCAGACATAGGCCAAAGTGCATATAACAAAACGTGATGATTTCCAGCCAGCATGTTATAAAAAAAAAAACTTTGACCCTGACCTATTTTTTTATGAAAATGTTTTGATAACATCCAATTAAACTCATGTGCAATTCACAGCTGTCCTTGTCCTCACACATCTCTAGTCAGTAAATATCCCAGTGAGGCACTGGTTTAAGCTGATGATAAAAGCAGTTACACCTGTCCTCTGCTGTCAGGATATCAAGGGCATCTCAAAGGAAATCTTAATGGCGTCCATAATTATGTGGAGTTTCCATGGTAGTGTGGGGCAGGGTGACAGCCGTTAGTTTTATTGTTCCAGTAAAGACTCAGGCTAGAATCTGTTTCAGTAAACATCATGCAAACACACACTCCCCCTCGACTCTGAAGGTGTCGATCCACACACTGTTGTTGGTTAGATGATTATACACATGCATGCCAAAGCAACAAGTTCAAAGCAAAGTTTGTGTGGTTGACACAGGTGATCCATATAACATTTTCTCCATTATGAGGTTGGCCTACTGTATTATAATGTGGATCAGTGGATCACAAGACATGCCAAACATGCACCTCTCACTCACTGAAACACATTTGGAGAACAGAGCTCTTAACTTTGGACCCCATGGGAAATATTTAACAAGTGTAATTAATTTAGGTAATTAATTGTGAAATGGATGACTACGAGGAAAGGATCATTTATCCTCATTAGAGTGAGAAGGACTTTTCCCAAACAGTTTTTCTACTCATAAAAGGAAAAGTGCACTGAATGTTAACAGCAGCTGATCGCTATTTTTAGACTATTTTAGATTCAGGTCCAGGTAACTGCATCTTATCTCATCATTAGTATCGTGAAAATAAATTTGGGGGCAAATACAGTGAAAAATTAGTTTTTAAGAAGGCGATGTAATGATTTAACACAGAATTCACTATAATCCACAAACTGAATTCGAAACACGTTTAGATGGGTGGTTTCAGGTGACTGAAGATTTAAACAACAACATGTTATTGCAAACAATTCTGAGAAATGAAATGATTTTCTTGCATTATAAGGCGTTGATGTTACTCACCACTGATTTAAAGTCAGCTGCAGAGCCTTTATTTAGCTCCATCAATGTTTCACAAGTAATTGGGCAAGCATTGTTGTGTGATCATGTGAGACCATCAGAGAAGCATCGGTCATGCATTCTCCAGATTCCTGCGGAATGAGATGCAGAGGAATGACAAGAGTCTGAAAATGGAGGACTTGATATTGACTATTGGGGATTAGGTTATATTAGATGAACAGATTACCATCAGTTTGGCTCACTCTAAGTACTTTGTTGTCGTTGTCTGTTTACTTCCTACAGGTCGACTCACATTATAGTATGAACAGATAGTTCATGTATTGATTATTCTTTTAGAGTTTTTTGCTCTCTATGTGATTGTCTTTTTTTCATTGTCATCTCAGTTTTGTTATTGACAGCTGTCTGGCTTCCTTATGGTGTAAACTAAATGTTTTATTGTGTGGCATACCTGACTAAACATGAACTTAACCAGGCCTTTTTTGCCATAAACAGATATTGTGCTTAAGTTGCTCAATAACCAGTACAAGACAGTCAGCAGTCGCAAGTGTTCCTAACAATTCCCATCTCATAAAGTCATAAAACCAGATGTAATCAAACAGCTCAGTTTAATGATGCTTTATCAATTTTTCCATCTCTTCCTTATAACAGTGTAACCAAAACTAGAGGGGCAAATCACAGTAAAAGTAAACCTTGTGATTTTATTGTTGGCATTGTTTGTTTAGCTAATGCTAACCAGGTACAAAAATCTTTAAAGACTCATATAAAGAAGCCATAGCTCAGTTCATGAATATAATATCTTACAGAGGAGTTCATATAATAATGATGACGGTAACCCACATACAAAAATGTGACAATGTTATGATATAACCATTCGTGTGTTAATCTTCGCTAAGGCTACAATGTTTCTTTTGCTGTTATTGTAGCTTTCTCTGACTAGACCGACATTTAAAACTACTTACCAACTAACTAGTTTCATATATTTTACTGAGCATCCCAAGTTATTGACATGAAGGCATGCGGGTTTACTAAAGATAAAATGCTCATTTAAAATGTTAAAATGCTCAATTGTAACTAAGTTTTGGTATTTCTGAAATTCCAGGAAGTAATGATGATACAAACCAATCAGATTATATAAACGTATGCAGCATGCTGGGAAATGATTGGGGAAGACTGAACAACAGAGAAAGAAAAAAAGAGGATGGGCAGATGAAGAGAATGGAAATGTTATACTATGAATATTCTTTCCTTCATCCCAACCCTCCGCCTCCCCCGTCTCTGGCACTCCCTCAAGGCCGTGTTATTGTTCCTGCCTATCAGTGTCATTTCCATAGCGAGTGCTGAAAGAGAGTGCATAAATTGTGGCAGGTGAGAGTGGACATGAGACACTGAGAAGGAGCGCGGCAGGCACCGGCAGCCCACCTGCGTTCAGCTCCACTTTTAACAGACTCCTAAGAGGAGGACATTACATTATCAAGAGGATTGCTGACAGCTCCAGAGCTGATAATGCATTTGTGTCCTTAGGGAGGCGAAGTGATGAGAAGATAAAAGAGGAATCTGGAACAGATAGAACACTAGAGCTCAAGTTATCAGAACAGGTAAGAACATGTGCAATACTTGTCGGCCACATGTGGCGGTTCTTCGGCTGATATACGGAAGGGCAGCCGTTTGGAAATAGAACTGAAGTGAAGAAAAACTGGATGGGTTACTCAATGCCCAAAGGGACGTTAACTTTAACTGCCTATTGTGTGATTCTAATCTTGTTTGAGAAGACTGGAGAATGACGTAGAGGAAGATTTACAATATTGGAGAGCGAGGTGAAGTTACTGAAAGTCAAAGTGGAGCCCACAAAGTGTTCTCAGAGGTCTGGTAGAGTGTACAATTCATAAAATGCATAACAATACAATAAAAAAAATGTTATCATAAAACCAGACAAAAAAAAAAAAGGGTTGAGATTTGAAATGAAAAATAAATACAATTTAAAAAATCTAATTGTTTTAAATACTACAAGTGAATTTAGGCATCTCAACATTATAATGCACATTACAGAAAATGGATATTCATTTAGATTTTTGCTAAAAGCAACCAGTGTGATTCTTAAACTTTTAGCATTAAATTATTAGCATTTTTAAAGTGCATGAGCAATTACATATCCAATGTAGACTAATAAAGATCAATAAAAAAAAAAAAAAAAAAAAAAATTAGACTGATGACTAATATGGTAGCAATATATTGTGCACATTTAAAGGTTTGTACCTGTTTATGGTTAAGTATAATGCATATAACAATAGATAAAAAATGCATTTAAAATGTGAAATTCTCAGGGCTATTTTCAGTATTGATGTCAAAACAAACATGTGCACAAGACATCCAGACTAAATATACCGACAGAACGTTGTTGAAGCCGTTTATATGCAAATGAAATTAGAGAGACCAAAACCTAGGGGTCAACAGGGCTTCACTTAAACCGTTTATGACCTTTCCCAGACAAAAGCACATAGGCTGTGCATTAGCTTGCTAACTGCAGTTTTGTCCTTGGGCTTCAACCTAGACATTAAATCAAATTAGTGGAGCTACTTTCAAACCCCTCCCTATCTTCCCTAATGGCTCTTGTTATCAAACAGAGGGTCTGTAGATTTGAGAGTGTCATGTGAAAGTTCAAGCATCAGGGCCTGCTGCACACGGGGAAGGAGAATCAGGTCAAGAACATTGTCAACCCTTAGTTCGTTTTGCCTGGGGATCAACGGAGGCGGTTGAGTTAATGGATAACCATGAACTCGTGAGTCGTGCACTATTGGTGGTCAAACAGTTTTGCGTTGAAGTGTAGATCATGAAGGGAGATAGACAGAAAGGACTCGGGCCGCAGGTGTTCTTGAGGCCATGGCTCTGAGTCTGGGGGTTTTACACAGTGCTGAGAGACTGGCTGCCTGGGCACCGGCCTGTTCTCCAGGAATGCCAAAGCCAGACCAATATAATGGAGAACAAACAGGAGCATTGTGCAGTGCAGGGATGGAGAAAGAAACACACACACACACGCACACACACACACACACACATACACATAGGTCTGCCCTGCAGGGCTTGTGAACAGGCCATCTGCTCTCAACCAAACTCCCACCTGAACCTGTGCAGGCACAAAACCACTTAAAAGAGAGGCTGGATTGGAAGCACATATTATTTAGCTCAGGATGGGCTGTGCGAAATACTTCACTGTATTATACAATGTAGAGTCAACTTGTTGATAAAATTCTTCTCGGCTCCAAATGCCAGGACTAGCGGAGCGATGACTTTTAGAGAGCCTTAGCGTGCTGAAAGGGTTTCTGAAGGACAGTGGTGCTGACGTTGGCAGAATAAAGACAACAAAGCAGTCTGTGTCTTACTAACATTGTAAGCACGCGTGTTTGACCTTTACTAAACTTCTGTACATCCTTAAAAGTAGATTATAATTAGAACCAAAAAGTTTATACAGCTTAACGCCACAGAACCTTACAAACATTTCTTCTCTAGCAAAAAATGGTTATTGATAAGACACTTATTTACTGAACCTAAAGAGCTACAAAGAACTTTGTTAAAGAACTTTCTTTAACATTTTAAGAACTTTTTATTATTTAGTTCTTCAGAAAAATATCTATTTACTGCTGTTTTAAAAAGCTAAAAAAATCAATGAAGAACTGAGGAACCAATAATGCAACATTAAAAAACACTCTTGATCTCTAAAGAACCATATATCAAATCAAGAACCCTATACACTCTTGAAAAAAAGGTTCCAAGGTTTCAGTGATGCCATAGAAGAACCATTTGTGTTCCTCAAAGAACCTTCCAGTTCTTAAATGAACCATTTTTCTTGTGTGAAGAACATTTTAATAACCTAAAAAACTCCACAGTGTGTATACAGTGAAAATGTTTCTTTGCTGAACCTAAAGGTTTACAAAGAACCAGTGAATAGTCTTTTTCATTTGATACATCTTTAGAAAACACCATGTACTGGTGCATCAACCCAGAAACCAATATAGTGATCTGAAAAACTATTAGGAACTAAACTCCAAAGAATTGAATAGCAATAACAAAAAATAAAAAAACGATTAAAAGTTTACAAAGAACCATTTAAGAACCTTTATATTTAAGAGTGTATGGTCTAAAGCAAGGAAATGCAGGAGGGCAAATGGTGTGAAACAAAACAACGCAATACAATTTGTAACAGTGAATGCACAGTAACAAGTTTCTGTGTCGAACTGATGACCAACTCAAAGTCACAGTTAATTTTTTTTAAAGGGCATCATACAAAGGCATGATGATGAATCCATCTTCTTACGTGGGCTTGTTCTGTGGCCCATATCTGATTGCACTGTAATGTCCATACAAATGTGTATTCTCAGTGCTGTCCACATGCAAACAATCATAAATCACCTGGCGGTAAATGTTTACTTCATAAGCTGTGCCCTAGTTTTGCTTTAGAGCGTACGGAATGAACCTAGAGGTCATTTTGAGATATTTGTCTTGCTTGTTCCAGTGAATCCGCACGAGGAAGAGAGTGGAAGACCATATTCCTGGGAGATGGAGCCGAGCCCTGCGTTGTGGCACTCCCAGGTGGTCCCGCTAGAAACAGACCTGGAGAGGGTGAGCTCTCATCCCGAGTGCTCCATCTGCTTCAACACCTACGACAACGTCTTCAAAACGCCAAAACAGTTGGACTGCACTCACACCTTCTGCCTCGAGTGCCTCTCCCGCATTATGACCACCTCCACGGACCCCCAAAACTCTAAAATCTCCTGCCCCTTTTGCCGCCAGCCCACTATCATCCCAAAAAAGGGGCCTCCGGCTTTGACCACCAGCCAGGAGGTGCTGTGTCGCCTGCCCGTCCACCAGCAGCAAGAGGAGCCTGTGTGGTTGGATGGGGAGAGGCTGTGCTACCAACGGCCAATAGATATTCCAGGCGTGCCAGCATTCTGCATCTGTGTCGATATTGGGGTCAGTGGACAAAGCGCCGTATCTTCTTCCCAAACTCGACCGCGACTTGGGCTTCTGGAACGGCTGATGGATTGGAAGCGTTTGCTTCTCTTTATATTCCTCATGATGCTGCTGCTGGGGATCGTTCTGTGGCCCCTGCAGTGCATCGTCACGACGGGCTCCATGCGTTGTGCACCCCAGAACTTGCAGATATCTACTACCACACCTTCTACTACTACAGTCAATGTATAAGTGAGACAGACACGTCTAGATGGATATTGGACTTGCTAAATCAGGATGACTGGTGTCAGTTTACATCCATACCTTTGTGCAAAGCCTGCTGGGTGCTAAAGGACTAAAGGCAAGCAGCTGGACTGCAGTAAAGACTGAAGAACTGTATCGGGATCATGTGAAGGAGCGTGAGAAAACTGATTGATGATCAACAATGACCAAAACAAAAGCAAAACCGATACAAAGTACGGTCACATTAGTTCTGGTGCAAATTTGCAGGCAAAAAAGGTGCAGTCAGTAGTGTAATGATGTGATTGAAAGTAACTTGTAAACCAAGCAATTCTCGAATTCACATTACCAACATCACAAGTCAAATCTGTTTTGAGAACGTTTTCACTCTCGTGAAATCGCAGATTCCTATTGAAATGACTGGACTTTGCCCATGAGAAACAGTAAATGTGGCTGCAACTCAATCCAAAGAAAACAATGTTTTTTACTTGTACATTTATGTATATATTTTATTTGATTGTATTACATTCCATGAAGAGTATTTTGTTTACAAAAAATAAATAATTGTTGCTGTAAACCGCACAAGGAAGTTGTAGGAACGGTGTCATGAAATGTTATTCAGGTTTTAATAGGTGCAATATTCATGATATCACTGATAACTCAGGTCGACAGACAAAAGAAAGGAAAAGCAAACAGGTTCACGTGGCTCTAATTGATCACATCCTGCTCTGGGACGGTTAAATGAACACGCCTCAAAGAATAACCGTCTGAAACCTAAGCCCTGCGGCGACGAGTGCTCTGAACACACTCACACCAACTTAAACTATTCCACTGTGTGTGTTTCTTAGGGATGAATTATCAGTTTCCTACTTCCAGGTGTATTTATGAAAAAAACAAGAAAAAAAAAACATGTTATTAAACCGTAAAGAGAGAAGGAAATTATAAAGAGGGAAGGAAATAAAATATGGGTCAGGAACTGTTTGTTTGGAGCAAGGTGAAATGAGTCAAAGACAATTAGTAGAAAGTTCCCAGTGTATGCTTTATTATGCAATAACTAGTCCTGTATTATTTGAGATGCAAGTCTTTACATCAGCTGTATCTTTCAGGGCAAAAGGCATTTTAGGCTGAGACAGTGCAATAGGGAACACAGTCTTTATCACACAAGGACAATCAGCACGACACAATTCAGATCAAACCTACTGATCACCAACTGAGATTACAAAAACCCACCAATATAGTATTCAAGTAAATTTAAAAAGAAGACTTCAAAATTGTGATAATGCAAGCAGATAGCTTTATAACTGTTGATGTTTTGTATAATAGTAGAAGTAATAATAATAATAAATGTTAACATCGTCCTAAAATAATATGCTAAACGGCTGTGAATATTTCCATCACTGTATTAACGAACAAATGAAATGTACAATTTACAACAAATCAATAACTGATTCAATAAAACAAAAATAAACGACTGATCTATAACGCAAAACACCACACTGACGGCAAATTAACAAAAAATATCCATTATATATACCTCCAAACAAAAGGACATTCTGACAGCCATAGACACTATACCTTGCAGCAGTTCAAATTGAATTTCAAGTCTTAATATGCCATTACATTTTTGACCCATTTTCACAGAGGTAAAAATAAAACAAATTTAAACAGCAGACAAACAGCTTTCAGATGCCAGTAGTACATTGCTGTCACATGATCAGGTACATAAATCACAAATTCATTCAATCAATCAGTCAGTCAGTCAGTCATTCCAAGGACAATGATTATCATATGCAGTGACATTGCTTTTACTTCCTGGAAGGTCTGACAAACTGGTTCTCTAGTATAAAACCCAAACATTTCATCCATTCAAGTGCAAAAAAAGCAGACCCAGGCCTCCTTCTGAACATGTACGGTAGCCCTTCAGATCGTGACATCACAGATCCCCTCATGTGGCCAGAACTAACACCACATTCACAGTCAGACGCTGATTAATCACATACATTATGCCCTGCTTTATCTAAGCCAAGATGTACACTACTTTAATGTTTTTGGTCGGCAAGATTTTTTTTACGCTTTTTCACCAAGGCTGAATATTTGACCAGATATAGGCTGCATATATGATCTACAAAAATACAGCCAAAACAAAAATATTGTGAAAATATTATTGCAATTTAAAAAAAAATTTTTTGTTTTGTTTTGTTTTAATCTACATTAATTAATTGTAATTTATTCCTGTGATGGCAAAGCAGCCATTACTTCAGTCTTCAGTATCACATGATCCTTCAGAAATCATTCCAGGCTGCTCAAGATATTTTTTAATCATCATCTAATGTTAAAAAAGATTGTGGAAAACCTGATACATTTTTTTTCAGCATAACAGCATTTAAAATAGAAAACTTTTAAAATAAATGTCTTTATTATTACTTTTGATAGATGAATGCAACCCTGCTGAATAAAAGTATTAATTTCTTTAAAAAAATCTTACTGACCCCAAACCCTTACTGACCTGGTAGTGTATATATAACATCTTATGACATCACTGCTGACCTCACCTAATAATAGCTACGTGTGGATTACGGCCATGTTTTAAATTACTTTTTTCGCTCTACACAAATCTATTTCTTTAATCTTAGCTGTCGGCCATCTGGCCTGCCTCCTTTTTAGCTAAAGTCTCCATCGAAATGCCATTCACCTCAACAGCTCGCTCGACATCCTGACGTACCCCCTCCATTGTAGATGTTTAGTAACACCACGTTTTTCAATTGACGTTTTTCATTCGAAGGCCTCAGTGCAATCACAACCCGCTATTGACGTAAAGAGCTTTATCGGGCTATTTATAACACCGCAATACACACACCCTGTTTATATGTGATAAAAGAGCTTAATGTGTCTCTTAGGAGGAAAATGTGGAATAATATAGTTAAAATGCATTATATAAAAAAATGCCAGGCCTAGATTTCATAATCACATTCACAAATATCACAAGATAAAATTGCTCTAAAGGAATCATAGTTGCAAACAAAACGACTAGTAACAAATAAACAAAACCCTACCTAATAAAGGCTCACCTGATGTTTTCAGAACAATAAAGCCTACGCATAGAGGGAGGAGCCCGCTGATGAAGAGGCAGCCTGATTGGTTGATAAGCCTTTGATTGACAGTAGCACTTGACTTCCTCCAACGGTTCATTTGCCTGGAGGTAATGCTCAATAAAAAAGCATCAAAGCAGAAGCCTTTATGAATATGATGCACAGGCTGCTGATTGGCACATACTGTATAGATTCTACCACACTGTACCAAATCAGCCCATTTAAAACACCTACTTACATAAGATATCCAAATCATTGGTTGAACTTTGACCAATCACCTCCCATGTGCTCTGAAAAGAAAAGGGGGGATCCTTGAGGCAGGATGGTGTAATTTTCTTCTTCTTATATCACCGTGCCACGAGCATTACTCAGCAGAGCGCAAATAACCGCTGCTTGTAAGATACATATCAAAGGTCTTTGGTTACAGTAGACGACATCCAGTAGACAAAGCAAGGTCTGGAAACAGCCGTAGACAGCATGGAAAGAGCATAGCTTCATCCAAAGTTACGTCACTGAGTGTAAATATTCATATTCATCATGTAGCTTAGTGCAGTGTAGAGAGGCTTGTTAGACTAGAAGTGGGGAGAGAAAGCACCAAGTCACGCGTCCTTTGCGGGAACAATTTCGGCTGCTGTTGAGGCACTTGGTTTTGGAGTGTGAGTTTCTCAGACGTAGTCAGTCAGGAAATGAAGAGAGGAGCTGTTGGGAGCTCTAGCTGAGCGGCTGGGCGGCTTCGCCCCCACCCCCCAGTGCTGTAATCCAGTGTCGCTCCATGATCAGGTGCTTCTACACAGCACCTCTGCTGGAACTGCAAAGGAAAGGACGAGAACATTTAGAGATGTATTCTTTAAACAGGTGTGCCATTTTACACATACTGTATGTCTTGGTTCTTTTGCAAATGGTCAAATCCGATGCATTAGTTCAGGCAGTGGAGAGGTGTATCTACTGTACACTGGTTGCTATAGTAATGATGTAGGCGTCAGCAAGATGCCAAATGACTTTCTTTTACAAAGGCTGAGTGCCAAGCTGTCAGTATGGAAAGAGGAGGAAAAATTGACATTTTATGGACACATGAGTCTTTCCCCCCCTATATCTAGAGTAAAATGCGCCAAATTCTGTGCCAAATTCAACTGTGGTCTGACAAATAACACATTTGTTGAAAAGAAAAAAAGAAAAAAGAAATAAAATAAAATAAACCCAAACCACATACTCTATAGATATGAATTTTAAAAGGTTTTTGCTATTCAGTCTACAACTAACTATATTTCAGTCTATGCCTACATTTGGATTTTTGCTGTCAGCATAAACAAAGCGTAACATTAATATTATGCATAATTCCTAATCCTGTGAATTATGGGACTTGGAAGACCAAAGTAAAAATCTATGAAATAAGTACTTATTTAAATACCCAACAGTCATCAGTCATAAAAAAGTAATGGCTGCATTTATTTGATCAAAAATACAGCAGAAACAGTAATGATGTGAAAAATGATTACAATTTAAAATAACGGATTTTTATTTAAATATATATTTTAAAATGTCATATATTCCTGTGTTGGCAATTTTGAATTTTCAGCATCATTACTCCAGTCTTCAGTGTCACATGATCATTCAGAAATCATTCTAATATGTGGATTTAGTGCTCAAGAAACATTTATTATTATTAGGAGGATTTGTTTGATGAATAGAAATTTCAAAAGAACAAACAAACAAAAAGAACGAAAATACAGGAAAAACAAGAAATGATTATTATTATAATTTAAATTATTATAATTTACTATCATTTTACTATATTATTATATAGATTGTATTTTATGTATTAATTTGTTTATAAAGTATGTATTTATTAACCTTTGAAAACATCAGTAGTTGTGCATATTCATTGAAGTATGGTGTTATTTTCAAGGCCATTTGGCAAACAGTGCTGTTCTGTAAGATTATACTTTTTCTGATGGTGGGCTGCAACAAAGACACAACTCTCACCCCCATCTGTTCCTTACTGTCTTTCTCCTTCTCATTCTGTTTCTGTCTCTCTACTCCAACAGCCTTGATGCAGGTGTGTGTTTGTGTGTGTGTGCACAGAAGCATGGCTGCAGCAATGTGTAACACTGTGAGTGCGAGGGTGGAAAAACATACTCCCAGACTCCCTGAGACAGCAGCCCACATGGCTTATCTCCTGGTATTGCTGCTGGCGG